GGGGCGCGGCGCCGAGGGGGGGGGGGGGGGGGGCAGGACCATGCCAACTCCTCGGGCTCTGCCCTAAGGGAGGAGACCCGCATCCAGCGCGCTGCCTCACGCCCTTCCCTCCGGCCGGTCCCCCTCCCATAGCATCCCGCAGGGCTCACCCAGATGTCCCTGCCGGAGCGGATGATGGAGCATCCGCCAGGACACTGGCTGCTCCTAGCCGCTTCAGCTCTGGTGAAAACACAGAGATAAGGGGAAAAAAGTCTAATTTGGAGCTATTTCCTCCGCTGTATTGCCATTTAATTTGTTTAGTCCATCTTCCATGAAGCCGTACTTTAACTCTGAGGCACTTAAATGCTTTTTTGGCTCTGGCCTTAAGTGCTTTGCTGAATCAGGGCCCAGGAGGTCTCGTTGTTCAGAAGTTATTCTCAATTGTATTCATGTGCTTTTTTTCCTTGGCTTCCAACAAAGATTTGGAGCCAAAGTCTCTTCTAGTGCCATGCCAAGGACAAGAAAGAGCCAGATTTTCTATTGGTGCTCTTCCAATGGCTTGGGATTGTGGACTTCCGTTATTCCATAGCACTATAGCACCCATGCTCTAGCAACACTGGGCTTAGAGATGGATGGAGTGATTAAAAAAAAATTATTTAGATATTTGTAGGGGAAAAAAGTCTCCAAAAACACTTTATCAGGAGCATTTTTTAAAGCTTTTTGTGGGAATAAAAATAATTAAAAACAATACTGGGATTATATTCTTTTTAATTTTCTTTTCTTCTAGTAGTTCACAGCCTGAACCCAAAAAACCTTCAAAACTCAGATCTCCCCACCACAGTGATCTATGGGCTCCCAGCACATGGAGCACACACCGCTCACGTGTCAGCACCTCTATTTTCCTTTTGACCCTTATGAAAAATTTTTCGGCAGTGCGTTCGATATCCTTCCAGTGCAACAAACCTGGAGCTCCTCTCCCTGTCCTCATTTCGCCGCAGCCCAGGGACAGCGCGGGAGCTCGGCCGTGGGCTGCAGCATCACTCAGCTGGAGATGGCAGTGTCCCGCACGTGGGGGCACGGCCTCGCCTGCCTGACCCCGTAACCACAGCCAGCAATTGCAGCCAGGGCTCGCAAGGCAATGCCCTGCCTCTCCCAAAGCTCCCTCCTGGCCCTGTGCATCAGTCCCAGTAAAATCTATATCGCCACGTTGACTTTCCTTCCTGGCAGACGGCAGATGCACCAGGTCCCCAGGGTTCACAATAAAATGGGACACCCCCCTTGTTTTGTGCAGGAGCTAATTACTCTCAAGGAGAAAGAAGGTGAACATGGAAGGAAAATGCTATATGCTTTCCTAAGGATTTAAACCAGCCTGGTAAAATATGCTGAGACTAAGTGTGCTGGGTCATATTCAGCAACTGTGCTGAGAGCTCACTTGAAGCTACTAGAAAAAAAAATCAAAGGAATGCCAGGATATGTAAGGTGAAAATGTACCTGTGATGACAGTGAAAAAAATAAAGTACACATTTAAATGCATTTTTCATATTCATTTCTAACATGTAAGGCCAAATCATATTACCCTTTGACTGCCTGCAGGCCTTGCTGCTGCACATCTCCCCGGCTGCAGATCCGGGAGGTGGCATGAGCAAAGGCAGGACCATCCCTCTGCAGTCGCTGGATCCCACTGCCACCCAATTCATGGGAAAGCTCCCACTGCCTTCAGCCAGAGCGGCACTTCACCCCAGCTGTCCCACCCGCCAAAGGCTGCGTCACAGCGAGCTTCATGCTACGGAATAAAGTGGTGTGTAGATCTTAAGTGCTTGGTGCCGTACTCTATAAACAAAAGCATTGTTACACTGAGTATACTTGGGTCTTGTGTTTAAAGTGTTGTTTCCCATCAGTTTCCTTCACTTTCTTAGTCTAGTGCTCCTTCTGCACTTCCCCCCCCCTTCCATCAAGACACAGTCAGAAAACTTTATTTACAGGTATTTCTTAACAATAAAAAATCCATGCCATAAGCATGACCTTGTGCGTTACAGAGCAAGAAAATTGCATTGGTGTAAAAGACTAAATGCAATCTGCGGTAAACCCAAAGCAAAAGCTTGGCCTCAGGGGACTCGACGGGAGTTTTTCCATTAAACCCCATGGAGTCCAGCTGTAATCCCACACACCTGCCTTTGGAGAAGCTTTTGAGCACACTCAGCAAATGTGTTATTGCACAGATCCCCTGACCCTGCAGTCGTGTCCGCTCCCCTGGCTCCTGCTGACCCACGCGCACAGCCTCACACAGCACACGGAGCAGAGCTGGGGGTGAGTAGGGACACCCAGGCGTTAGCATTGTCCCCTGGGAGGCTCGTCCCCAGCCCTGTCCCCGCTGCTCCCCCCAGCCCGTGGTGGCAGGACTGCCCTGCTCTGTGCTGGCAGTGCCACTGGTGGGCCTGGGCTGGGGGAAGCAGGGCTGGCACCGTGCAGGGATGCAGGGATGGAGCTGCCTCTGCCCCACAGTGCTTCAAGCGAAGCAAGCACACCCGTGTTGAGAGAGCAGTGCCCACAGCTCTGTCCCAGCCAGGCACCCCCATCCCGC